AAATAAAGAAAATTTCAGATTAATGTTTACAAGGCATAGAGAACACAGGTTAAAGATTGCATGGATCAAAATAAATAAATTTTTAATTACCATGTTACTAACACGTATAAATGACAAAGTTTTGAGAGAGTTTTAAATTTTTGGTGGAATGATTAAAGTTGTTTTTCAAGACAGTTCTGAAATGATGATAAAAGAGTTAATCATTTTTGGACAGGAGCTGTATTAAATAAATAATACTAAATAATAAATAATACATTTGGTACATATAGTGTATGTAATGTGCATGTAAATGTAACAAGTATTTTGGGACAGATGTAGTATTAAATAAATTATATTGTCTGTCCTTTAATAAACTAAGAAAGTTGGTTCACAATGTCATGCTAGACAATTTTTCTCACCACAATCTGTCTTACATATTTAGAAGTCTACTATTCATCCTTGCTTTGAATATTGCTGCCAAATCTGGTCTAGTGATCCTTCTATATATTTAGAGATTCTTGGTATAAATCGAAGAATCCACAATGTTATTGGTCCTGAGCTGGCATCTCACCTTCAGTCACTTTCTCACAGCTGTAATTTAATTTCCCTATGCTTTTTCTATAAATACTAACATGGTAATTGTCCTGATGAGTTTTCTGCTATGGTACCTAGACTTTATGAATTTAAGTGCAGTACTAGATTGGCGGCAAGGTCTCATCATTTTACAGTTGAAATGTCTGCTAGATGTAACTGTAAGTTCTATGCTAACAGTTTCTTCTACTCGTATGAAGACTAAAATGATTGACAATTGCACAATAATGAAAAGGCAATGTAAGTGATTTTATTATACAAATCCATTGCTAAGAATTTCATTATAAAAATGCATTGCTAATAGCATTATGATAAATAAGGCATTTTCAAAGTGAAAAAAGGGATTGCCAATGGTCAGGAATTAATACAAATAATACTGAGAGAATAATGTATAATGTAAATGCATTGCTAATGATTCTTACTAGAAATTCATTGCCTTTAAGCAAAATTTCTTGTCACAGAATCTCGATGTTTTTCATATGTGCACAGTTTTGTAGACAAACGGAAACAAAGAATTTTTAGAATGGACTTTTTATTAATCCAACAGATTTTTTTCACTTTAAACGTTATTTTTAGTGGATACACGTATTTGTGCAAGCGCCCATTTATTTATTAAACAGTATATTTAATTTTCATCTACTTGGCCTTAATGTTAGAGAAATCTTATTTTCCTGTAATAAGATTTCTCAAACATTCAGGCTGGTAGATGAAAATATAGTGTTTAAATGGAGTACCTACTCAAATACTAAGATGCAATGGGTTATTGAGTGTTAGACAATATGAGAAAAAAAAACATTATTAAAGAGATAGAACAATAAAAGAGGAATTAAGAAGACAGAAGATAATCATTGATATTACATTTAAATTCTTGAAGATCAAAGTTGACTGGAAAGCAAGATGCCAGAAGCAAGTTCCACAAGCGAGAAGTGCAATAGAAGAAAATCTTAGCATAAAACTTACTGTATACATCTAATTGTTAAAAAAACAATTTTGAGTTGATTTATAGTTTCAACATTGTTTATACACTAAAAATATCAGTGTAAATAAATTGTTGTCGGCAAAATTCATAGTGAATGTCATAATAAAAACTGTTAAGAATGAGTTTGGCCAAGTGTTAATCCAATATTTTCATATCAGTCAAGAAATAAGAAAAAAAATGGTAGTAAACATTACAATCAGATGAATTTTGATTTTTTTAACTAATTAAATCTTTGAAATAAAATTATATCTTGCGCAAGTTGTATAAATGGTCTAGAATTTAGCAATTTTAATTTAAAGTAGGTCACATATATCAGTAAACTGAGTGTTTATTTTTTCTTGCAAATCTTATAAGGAAACACCACTTCGAAATGTCTTTCTACGAGATGCATCTGTGCAGGTACATATCATTAAGTTAGGCTGCAAATACAATCTATTTGAAAATTATTGAAGAATCTATACTTTTTAATGGATGAGATTTCTACAGCTAGTAATGGTCATGTTAAACCCTAAACTCCTAATCCAGGGTGCCTTTCAATTTTAAAGAAATGTTTATTAAATATTGCCAAAAATGATAAACACAAAAAATTTAGTCAAGGTGGTAATTGGAAATGAAAATCATAGAGTCGAGGTAAAAATTTTCTTTTAACAGATCGTGACAGCTATTAGGAAGATGTGATTAAATATATGTTAATGTTTAAAAAAAATTAATTCATTATTGCTTAGTTAATAAGCATTATAACATATCACAGATAGCTATATTGGGAAAAAGGAATTTTTAACATATTCATTTTTTATATATTTATAGTTATTTTTAAAAAAATTTTTTTTTTAACTTTTATCAAAAACGAGATTCTTGTAAATGTAGTTATGGATAATATTATATATTAGTTACTAAATTTTTGTTAATAACTATTTGCACTCAGTAGTTGAGATTAATAGCTATCTGCTGATGTGTTAAAATTTTGGAATAATGCAATAATAAAAATTTAAATTTCATCTCTTTGATGTCGGAGTCTGTAAATAACTAAATAAAGAAATTTTGGCAATGTTCAAAATTCATGCCCACTAAAAACACGTTGTTTCATAGGGACGATTTTTCTGTTCACACTTATTACTTTAAACTATCAAGACTCCCTTGGGGATGTTTATTTACAAGATTATAAAAATATGTGAACCAAGTACAATGAGATATTTATTATTTACAATTTATAAAGATTTATTATCATTTTATAAAGAAATAAATTTGAAAAAGAAATCTTTTTATTGAAAAATTTATAAAAACCTACAAAATATGTGAACCAATTATAATGTAATATTTATCATTTACTATTTTATAGATAAAAATATGGAAACAAGTTTTTTATTCATAATTTTATAAAAGTATTCATGAACTACAGAACATTTGAGTTTTTCTGAATATTATACACTTTCTTCTCAAATTATTTTATATCTGATTACTTCTTGTTTTAATTTTCCTATTTTTTTTTATAATCTCAGATTTCTAATCAATAGAAATCCAAGACTTGAAACTCTAGCAATTAAAAGGTCACCCACCAACCTTCCTACAATTTTATGAATTTTTTTAAAACCATTACTAATTTTATTAAATAATCTGCTAATAGATTATTTATTGTCAGCCAAATACTGACTGACAAAAACATCTTAAATCAAGTGGACACTAAACACCTTCACTAAAGCAATTCATGAAGTTGAAAGAATCGAGTTCTTTGGAATGGTCGTCAAAACATCAGTGAATTGCCAATCAATTTGAACTTTATAAAATTGTAAAAAATAAGAATTTCATTATATAATTAGTTCACATATTTCATAATTTAATAAATTTTTATAAATATAAAAATTTTTATATTTATTTCTTTATAAATTGGTTGATGATACACATTGCATTGTATAAGTTAGTTCCCATGTTTTTAGAATGTTGTAAATTAAATATAAAATTATTCCTGTAAATAAACAATCTAATATGTAAATATAGTTTAATATTTTTGTTATCAGTTCTCAAAGAATAAATACATAAATTCCTTTTCATATGTTTGGGTCTTATTAAAATTCTACTCATTGCTTTTTAAAACAATATCTATTGCCAAGGAAGTGAAGTTAAGTACAAGATAAAAGCAGTGTCAAGGAAAAAAAAAAACGCCCTTTTGTCACATAATTTTATTACAGGCACTAACTTTGCTAAAATTTCATAAATCAAAATCTCAAATTAATTTTTAAATAAAAAAAAAAAGCTTTTGTTTTTTATTATCTAATGTCTTATGCCTTTTATTTCACTTTCTTTTTTTAATACTCTTTCTTTCAATTTTCTTGCTAAAAATCTGACAGAACTATAAGTGATAATTTTTCATAATGAACATACCCCTCAAAATCCTGGATCCACCTCAGAGAAAAAGATCTGGAACACAAGGCATTTATAATCCAATGAATTTAATTTAAAACAATGTATATTTTTTATCAAATTAAACTAAGATTCTATTATTTTTTCCCTCGTAAAGAAAAATTATTTAAAAATGTTTCTCTGGTCACCAGTTGCTTGTGCGTGTATTTATGTATGTGTATGCATGTGTGTGTGTGTGTGTGTATAAATATAAAAGTGGACACTGAGGTCAACACCAAATAGTGATAGTCTGTTTGATGCTTGAACTCGGTCTTCAGAACTGTTGGCGCTTGGTGTGTATGTGTGAAATTTCAGATAGAATATATTTGTAAAAGGACAATGAATAAAGAATAAAGACAAAAAGAAAACTTATCTTAGTTGACGAGTTTCATCCTGTGAAGGACTTTATCAAGACAAATTTAAGGATTTTATTCTGTAACAAGCATTTATATGCAACAGCAAAAATGTTATTGGTTTTTCAAAATTTAAAAATGCACAGAAATATTTATCATATCAGCCAAAAATACAAACGACGTTCAAGAACATCACTTACTTGCTTTCTTTCATTTATTAGACATTGAATCTTATCACTTGGTATCTGCCATAGCTTGCCTAGACTTTTTGGCTAACCTGATGAAGATTTATGAGCATTCTTAAATTTTAAAAAAACAATAACAATTTTGCTCTTGTCTATAAATGCTTGTTATAAAATAAAATTCTTGCATTTGCCTTGATAAAGTCCCTTAGAGGAAAAAACATATTGGCTAAGATAAGTTTTCCTTTTGTTTTATATATATATATATATATATATATATATATATATATATATATATATATATGTATCATGCAAATAAATACAAGAACATGTAGAATATCCATCACATGCATGGAATTTTTTTTATATCCTCATGAAATATCCTTTGCAAATATTCACCAATCTGAATTTAATCATTTCTTTTATAAGCTGTCCTCCATGTTAAACAAGTTCATTTGTGCCATCAGCTTTAAAACAAATCACTTTTTCTTCTGCTCACAAGTCATTATTAATATTGTCTTAATATTTGACTCTCTTGTATTCAAAATTATCATCCGTATTTTTCCGTTTTTCAATAATTCTTTGAATTTTTTGCCACTGTCTATCAAGTTCTGCTTTTTCATCTTTGGGGCCCGTACGTCTGGTCTTTCGACCATCAGCCATCTTTACCCCATACTGAAAAGCTGCTTTGGGCATGGCTTCCTTGTTGGCCATGTACTCACTGTATTCTTCTTGAGAGTCAAAATCCCAACGTCCGATTGGACCTTTCTTGTTGCCATGATCCATCTTAGTATAGTCAACTTCGTCGTCAGAATCATCAATGGCATCAGCCGACTCCATCATTCCTGGGTAACACTCTGCATAACTGTCAATCTCCATTTTAGCCTTCAGTTTACGCAATCGTTCTTCTTCTTTTTTGTTTGCTGCCTTCTCTTTCTCTTCTTCGATTTCAGCATATGATTTGAAGCATTCATTAATCGACTTGACCAATTCCTTTGCAGAATTTGGCATCCGGTCCTTTTCCTCGTCTTCATCGGCAGGTTTTTCAAAGTAGGTCTTCTTCGAGCTGCTGTTTGTTGAACCAGCTGCAGACCCCATTGACATACTGGATACCATCGCACTACTTCGATCACGATCAGCACGGTCATTGCGATCTCTGTCACGGTCTCTGCGATCACCACTAGTGCGCTCTCTGTCACTGCGGTCATAGTAATCTCGACCGCGGTCCCTATCCCGGTCACCACTGCTGCCGAGGTTCCGATCTCGATCCCTGTCCCGATCACTGCGGTCTCTATCACGATCTCTGTCTTTACGATCACGTTTTGTTTTTGAATTACTTGATGACATTGAGGGGACATATTCTCCAACATCCCCATAAATGCTTTCATCATGTCCTGGCAAGAGTGTCTTCTCACCAGAGTTGACACCAGTACCACCAGACCCAGCTGCACCAGATCCAACTGCACTGTTCCCAAATCCACTTCCAGCCGAAACTCTCATATGACCACGTTCTTCCTCCTTCATCTTGTTCTTTTCTTTCTTTTTCAATTTCTTGTTCTCACGGCGACCCTGACGCAAATAAGACAAGATCTGTGTAAGTTTGTTAATAACAATGTCATTTGTGGTCAGTGTTGTGTCAGACTCTGGGGCTGGACAGTCAGCTTTACTGCGAATTAGCGTCGTGGGGACATCAGACTCTGCAAATTCATCTTCAAGGTCGACCACATATGCCATTCGACTAGGCAAGAATAGTTCATTTCGTTCAGGGTACTTTGACTTGAAGATTATACGATAAATGTTTCTACCCATTTTAGTTTTAAACTGCATTTGGTCCTCAGGGTCTTCTTCTTTTTCTTTCTTTTGCGTCAATGCTTTCTCCAATTCTTCTTCTTCTTCTCGTTCTTTGCTTGTAATCTCAGCCCTTACTTTCTCAAGCAGAGCATAATCGAGACCCTTTACAAGATGGGTGTGTTCCATATCACCTCCGAGATACTTGGATTCCTGAATGATTTGCTTTCGGCGTTCAGCATAGTTCTCACCCGATTTAGCATCGGGGGCGACCGCTCTATAATCGGCCGTCGTGCTGATAATTTCGGTCTCAGCATAATCACGATTTAATCCGTCTCTCCTCTCCTTTGCTCGGTCTCGATATTTTTGTGCTAATTCTTTCTGGCGATCCTCTTCCATACGCTTCAATCGAGCGTAATAACTTTTTTTCTTCCGTCTCCTGGTCGCTGGATCGTCGTCATCTCTATCGCCGACGTCTGGTTCATCATCGTCTAGGCTCCCGATTAAACGCGCCCCGACCGATGAACTTTCGTCTCCACCATGGGCCCCGGCTCCAGAACCACCTCCGGACCCTGTCAAATCTCCAAGACTAAGTCCAGCTCCACCACCAGCTCCACTGGCCCCTGCTGCGCCACTAGATCCAAGACCTCCTCTTTCAGATACTGAACCATGACCCACAGCCGAGGACCCCAATTCATGGCTCCCAGCGGCATGGCCTCCGCTGGTGCCTCCTGAAGTTGCCGATGCCGATAAGGAACTGTGGCTCCCGGAAGAAGATCCGATAGCCACACGAGGCGTCATCAAGAGTTTTCGAAAATCTTCATTTGTCAATGGATGTGCATCGTCTCCAACATCGTGATTGTAATCCGGTGGTGGCAATGGATTGGAATATGGTTCTGTGTCTTCCTTAGGCATTTTGTGAGATTTTTAGATATAGCTCTTTCGAAAATTACTTCAAAACTTTACCTATTTAGTTCGCTTCTTAATCGACTATTGCCAATAATAAAACATACAACTCACACTCTCAAAAATCACCTTCTAAACGAATGACGACTAAACGAATAACAATGGCGGAATTAAATAAACAATGCAGAGTTACTTCCCTTGAACAGTAGGTTATTTTCTTTTTAAAACCGCAGTTTCGTATATTAACAAAAATATTTATCGTTTCAAATTAATATGTAACGTCAAAAAATGTTTTGTGGCATCTACTGTATAATATTAAAAAAGAAAATTACTAAAGAACTTTAAGTGATTGTAATATTCTGAATGTAATATTCGCAATATTTTTTGTGATTACAAAATACGAAAATAAAATTGCTTAAATACATGGAAAAGACAATTCAGGTGTAAAATATTTTTTTCTTATTCTTCAGAAATAGATTTTCCCAATAGAAATACATACAAGACATTTAAATTCTGATCATTTTTAATAAAGTTTGTAATCTACAATAATTTTATTTTATCTAATCTTTTGCCTCTATGTGCAAATTATAAAATACTTTAATTTAAATTTAAACAAAGAGTCCTGTATTCATTGGTAAATCTTGCTAACCTATTCACAAATAGCATAATTCCCCAGGTATAATACACTTTCATCTATAATACGCATGCCTGAAATTGTGCTTCTATTCACGCATAATACACACTCCTTGTTTGGTAATCAAACCCTATATATTGTACTTCTCCAGTTTCATTATGGCCAAAAAAAAAAAAATGGTTTTTAACAGAATAATATTCTAATTTAGTTTTATGATAATTCTATTTTATTCTACAGCAGATTTTTAAAGACATTTGTAGCTGTGCATAACACCCCATTTTTAAACAATTTGCAAATGTATAGTGTTTGTTAAGAAACACTTTAAAAATCAACATAAATTAAGATCTGGTGAAATGAACAAATTAGATTCAAAGTATAGAGGAATCAATTTCAGACAAAATAAAAGAAAAATTATTGAAAATTATTAATAAGATATGATAGCCCTACTGAGTGGATACCAATTTAAAGTAAAATTTAATCAACCTATTTAAAAAAGTAATGATTAGAATTTTAATAAAACCTAAACATATGAAAGTGAAGTTATACTTTTTCTTTGGAGAAAAATAAGAAAAAAAAAATGCATTATTTAAAACATGAATCTGCAAAGTTTAAGCTTTTAAGCATAGTTATTAAGTTATTAGAAATTTTATATTCTTCAAATGGCACACTTTAAAATGGATCTTAGCATTTTTCAGTTAAATATGCACATTCATTCATGTGCCTACTACTATAGCCATATGCTATGTATAAATAAAAGGACGGTTAGTTCAAGTAGCAGTCTCTTCATGAGAAAAAACTGGACTACAAATATTTTTTTGTAAAATGCCATAATAATTTCTAAAATATAAAAATGTTGTATTTACACTTTATCTGTTTTCTTTTAGCTATTAAGTTATAAAAAATCTTATACCCATCAAGTAACACATTTCAAATTGAATTGAGCGTTTTTCTGTGAACATATTCATACATATTCTTGTATTTAATATGACATCTGCCTGACACATATAAAAAGTTGGTAAACTTATACCTTTATGCTCACAAAAAAAATGGTGTGTCAAAAGGAAGATTAAATTAGATTAAAAGATTGTAAAATGTGATGATTGGAATTGTAATAAAACCTAAATATGATGAAAGTCAATTTATACATTTTTTTTGTTATTGAGAATTTACAACAAAAATATTAAACACTATTTAGATATTTATTAGATAGTTTATTTACAAGAATAGTTTTATATTTACAACCTTCTTAAAACTAATACAATTAGAACTCATGCAATGCAATATTTATCATTTACCAAATTATAAAGAAATAAATAGGAAATCAATTTTTTGTTCATAAAGTTATAACATTTATTAAATTATTAAAATATGTGAACCAGCTATAAGGAAATCTTTATTAATTACCATTTTATAATGTTTGAATCAATTGGCAATTAGCTGATGTTTAAATAATATAATAAATAGTGTAAATAAACAATCTAATGAATAAATAGTGTTTATTATTTTTATTGTCACTTCTCAAAAACAAAGAAGATGTATAAATTCACTTTCACATGTTTAGGCTTTATCACAATTCTAATCGTCACTTTTTTAAAGAATAAACATTGCTGAGGGAGTGAAGGCAGTTAAATTAACCCTAACTCCTAACTCTTAACCCCAACCCTAACTTAAAGTTTTTGGGCAGGCATGTGGGTCCAAGTTTGCCTAAGAGAATATGTAACAAGTAGTGAGCCTTGGTAACAGTTCAGGTAACAGTCTGAGTTGAAGTAGTAAGAGGAGTCATTAAGAAAACTTCTCTATTTTATGATGTATGAAAACTATCTAAAAAGAAAAAAAAATTGACCTAAAATGAACAATTTTTGTGAAACACCTCAACAATTTCTGAGATATAAAAGTTTTCTATTTGCATTTTATCAGTTTTATTCTTTTCCTTTCCTTTTTCTTTGTAGATGAGTTGAATATTTTTATGAGGCAAATTATCACCCCCTCAGCCTTCCACAATCTGTCTACATTTTGAAATTTTAAGGAAATAATAAAGAAAAAATAAATTCTTTTCTAAAAATTATCAAATTTAATTTATCTAATATTTAACAATAGTTTAAATTTACTATCAAGTTATCATGTTTTCAACATTTTTATAGGTATGAGAAAATTCATAGGGATAAGAAAATTTATAGGGATAAGAAGATTCATAGGGATAATAAACCTAATGTTGCTGATGAGGATGAAAACTTTCAAAGTAAATGAATTCAACCTTTTCAAAAGAAACAATTTCAATATGTGAAAAATTTTATACATATATTTTATATTTTTCTATAAAGAAACATGACTCATAAAAGAGAAAATTGTAGTTGCATTATTTTTTTTAATCATTTCACTCCAAGCAAAGCAATAATGCCATTAAGATGCAGGGAGTTACCAGGAGTGAAAGGAAATAAGAAAGAAACCAGAAACCCAATTCTAAATAGGAAACAAGGGATAAAACTCTACTCCTGTTCAAAAGACAGAGATTGAATGTGAACCAGGTGATAGGCAAACCTATCTACACCTATTGGAAAAAAAAGAAATTATAAGAAGGAGATTAATTGAAAAAAACATATAGGTAGCTCAAAAAAAAGAAATCAAAATCTTTATGCTCTTTAGTGTAGTGTGCGAGTGAGTGACTGAGCCACATGCTAAGTTTGAAATTAAGTAGTTGGTTACTCAGAAAGTGTCTCCATGGAGAAGAAAAGTCATATTGTTGTCATTGCTACATCTTGGAGCAAAAAGAGTGAAAGGATTTTATGCCCCTGCCTGTTATAATTTTGAATACCATGACATTTAGCAGATGTCCTGTCAGACAAGGTTGGGTAATCCCTACAAGTTATTGTTGGTGTAAAATTACACCACAGTTAGAAATAAGTGCTGTGAATTTGAAGAAAGATGTTTAAGAGCATTTTTAGTTGTGTTTTTTGTTTCTCCCTGTTTTTGGTAACATCTTCTGATGTTAATGATCTAAATCTCCAGGTTTCAAGATTTTTAGGTTGACAAGTCTGGCATTGGCCTTTTTTCTCTTTTAAGTAATAAGGAATAATGTCAGATTATAAATGAAAATTCATTAATTCCTTAGAAATTACATGTAACAATGCAATATCTAACATAAATTCTCTATTTATTCTGAATATTAAAGCATTCTGTAGGTGACTATTTTCATCAAGCAAAATGTTAGTCCTGCCAATGCAAGCTGAAGTTGAATTTCTTGGTTGTGCAGTCATATCCTTCTATGGCAACACCTAAAGACAATCTTAGCTGAAATTGAGAGCCAGGCTACTGCAATTTCAAATATATAGAACTAATATATAAAACACTATATTTTGAGGGGATTCCATATACAGCAAAAGGGGGAGTAATATTTATAAATGATACAGAGTGCTAAATGTTGTCTTTTTTATTTATTCAAATATATGCTGTTAGTATTCTTTTCTTTTTTTTATATGATTTTATACTGAAAGTCCAACAGGAGGTACAGGTGGCTCAATGGTTAACAGCATGGAAAATGAAATTAGTGAAACAAGTTCAAACTCCAGCTGGTATAGTTTGTGTTTGCCCTTGTGTTTCCACCCTAATAAATATTATGCCAGTTTGAGCCTTTTTAAGGCAGTCTAACTTGGGTATTGGGATAGCAATCCAGCCCCATAAAAATTCACTTGATACTGAAACTGTAATAACATCCCAATTTGCTGCCCAATATTTGACAAAGAGTCTGCAAAAAAAAAAAATAAATGAAAAAATATCTCTCTTTCTCTGAAAAATTGTTTTAAGAAAAAGATTTTATAAATTCCAACTGAAAGTAGTAATGGCTGAGTGGCCAATGAATGTCAAATGTTTCCTTATAAAGAAACAGCATTATTATTACTATGGTTAATATTAACATTACTGTGGTTAATATTACCATTAACATTAGCAGGGTTAATATTATCATTACTGTGGTTAATATTACCATTACCATTACCAGAGTTAATATTACAATTACCATGAGTAATATTACTGTTACCATAAACATTATTGTGCTAGCCCCACTTTACTTTGGGACTGATACAAATAAGAAGAATACTTTATCAATACAATAAAGATATTTATTTACATGAAATACAATGGTTAAAACATAAACACTATGTTCTTTCCTATATATAGAGAATATGTTAGGTGGATTCACCCATCTGGTAAGTGACCTGGGGCTAGGTAGCTTGTAACCTTAAAACCCTTGGCAACTGGTACCGTTGATGGCAGAGAGAATTTCTTCCGTGTTAACTCGGAGCAGCTCTGGTCCCTTCTTTGGTGGTGGTCAGCTTTTTCTGAACCCACGTGGTTTTATTAACCAATGAAAGACTGCCTA